GATTTGAACCCACGACAGGGCATGCTTCTGAGTTGGACACTTCTGGATCGCTGGGCGGATCATGAATAACTGTCTCGTTTACATCACTGGTCGTCAGGGATTCACATAGGCTTTTATATACAGCTTCATATGTTGTGCAGTTGTTTTCCAGCTCAGTCTGCAGATGAGAAATGAACTTGCCAACTTCTGTTGCATCTCCGAAACATGGGAGATTTATCATCCGTGTGCGTAAATTTTCTAAAAAATTTAACTGGCTATTTTTGAAGCACTGCTGTTGTTGCTCAAGTAGAAGCTGTAATTGATCTGAAAAGGTAGTCATTTCTTTTAGCACCAGCAATGAAAATTAACTGTAAGAATAATGACCAATGTTGCTCAAGGACGCTGATGACAATCTAGATGCTGATTGGTCGAAACAATTAGGCTGAATCTCGTCCAATTACAGGGTTCAAAATTATTTTCTCCATCCCCGTCGCCAATTGTTGTGACTTTAAACTTGTGGTTGACTTTTACCCTGTGCTAATTGTTGTGTCCTTGACTGAAAAAACTAGAGAACAGCGTATTTATCGACCGATTCAATGATACGTAAACACGTACGAACGTAATGGACGACCTAGAGCTACGATTGGTCCCGATTCCCTGTCTATCCCAGCCAGTTGGGTCCAGAACACAAATCTCAGCCTCTGAGTTATGAATCATTGTATTTCAGACACACTCTATTTATATACTAACCAAACATACCACATCGTACCATAAAAATAGAAAACAACATTTTGTACCATATTCAAGAAGTGGACAGATATCGGCCAGTAGGAAATGTCCATTTCAATTCCAAGGACACCATTGGACATAACATGATAATTATTGGTCTATCCTTCGCATCCACAACACCTCCGTTTTTTTTTCTGAAGATCCGGAGTTGATATCCGGATTTCGAAATTTTCTGGGTTCATCCTCCCCCACGAAATAATGTTGGGTCCTCATATACCCAAGTAACAGTTAGTCTGATTCTATTTAAAGCATATTTCGCGCATTGAGTAGAGGCCTCACTAAAACTGACTAGATGATGAGGATTAGCAACACCAGACATGAGGTCATTAAGGTTTGATTCTTGTGAAACATATTCATCAGACCTCTTCAAGATTCCATCAGTGGATCATAGGTCACTAAAATAAACAGCATCTTTGAAATTTGTATTAAATTCCTGACCATTATTTGATCCATAGTACTCATTCTCTGGCACGAAGGGTTCTTCTTGTGAGCTGGATACCTCACATGTTTCAGGTACAGTGGGATTTGAACCCACGACAGGGCATGCTTCTGAGTTGGACACTTCTGGATCGCTGGGCGGATCATGAATAACTGTCTCGTTTACATCACTGGTCGTCAGGGATTCACATAGGCTTTTATATACAGCTTCATATGTTGTGCAGTTGTTTTCCAGCTCAGTCTGCAGATGAGAAATGAACTTGCCAACTTCTGTTGCATCTCCGAAACATGGGAGATTTATCATCCGTGTGCGTAAATTTTCTAAAAAATTTAACTGGCTATTTTTGAAGCACTGCTGTTGTTGCTCAAGTAGAAGCTGTAATTGATCTGAAAAGGTAGTCATTTCTTTTAGCACCAGCAATGAAAATTAACTGTAAGAATAATGACCAATGTTGCTCAAGGACGCTGATGACAATCTAGATGCTGATTGGTCGAAACAATTAGGCTGAATCTCGTCCAATTACATGGTTCAAAATTATTTTCTCCATCCCCGTCGCCAATTGTTGTGACTTTAAACTTGTGGTTGACTTTTACCCTGTGCTAATTGTTGTGTCCTTGACTGAAAAAACTAGAGAACAGCGTATTTATCGACCGATTCAATGATACGTAAACACGTACGAACGTAATGGACGACCTAGAGCTACGATTGGTCCCGATTCCCTGTCTATCCCAGCCAGTTGGGTCCAGAACACAAATCTCAGCCTCTGAGTTATGAATCATTGTATTTCAGACACACTCTATTTATATACTAACCAAACATACCACATCGTACCATAAAAATAGAAAACAACATTTTGTACCATATTCAAGAAGTGGACAGATATCGGCCAGTAGGAAATGTCCATTTCAATTCCAAGGACACCATTGGACATAACATGATAATTATTGGTCTATCCTTCGCATCCACAACTTAAATGTTCCATATAAATAAGTGATTAAATTATTCTCTTAAGAGACTGTGGACCACAGCTATAGATATCAGCTTTTCACTGAGGCATATAGTATCTTCTTGGATACAATATCCTATATTAGGTACGAAATATCGTTCTTATCATTTCGCAAATGCTCTGCAAAGAAACTATAACAAACGAAACCTTGTTGATTACTGTACTCCATTATGGGGTATCAATATTGCACTCCTGACGACCGATGTGACCAATGTATATTACTGAACCTCTAATGATACTAATTTTTACATATGAAGTTTTAAATCAATCGTCTGATTTATCTAAACGACTACTGTAAGAAACTCCCAGCACTGATAGCGTATTATTTTTGTACGTATGTAGTATTGCCTAATAAGAATTCTGAATAGTTAAGCTATTTAGACTGCCATCGCAGGTTCATCACTTACCTGGTCAGTTCACCATACCTTACGATCTTTCTGGTTCTAAGGGTACCTACTCTGAGATGTCTAATGTTTCTTTAAATGGTTGATCTACAAGTTGACAATATCTGATTACTCTTTTACATTGGCCTGGTATAGCACCGTTTGTTTAGAAAACTAAGAAGCATCTTATATACATTGACGAGCTTCAAAATTCATTTTAATTATCATAATGCGCAAGTTTCCTTATTGTTTCGAAGAGATTACCTAGTGAATTCCATAATTTTCAAACAGCTCAGAGATTCAACATTTTTTTATCTTTAGTAAGCTTAAAACATGTTTACAAAACTATCCACAGAATGTCAGTTTTAAATGATACTCGTTTAGAGGTTATGAATTCGGAACCTGCTTGGAATTGTTAGGCATAATATGATACTAAATAGCTTCATGAGTAATTTTTAGTGCTTTGTTCCTTAAACGCTCATCGATAAGGTGTATGTTGTAAGCTACTGAAAACATTAAATGTCTACATAATTTTTGATCGAACTTCAGTATAAAAGCGAATACACTCCAACAGTATGTTCTTTCTTAACATATTTGTGAAGCTGAGCCTTTAAATGTCAAAAGCGTATGCATATTCTAAGTATTCTATTTTAGGTGTCTCTGAGGCATTTGCTGTGTGTTGGTAAAACATTGTATAAATAGTAGTGGTGTCAAGCACTGGGTTTGGACTAGTCGACGTATAAGTAAAGTTATCTGGAGTAATACAGGTCTTCAGACGCAGGATCCATGGATAAGGAACATAAAACAAATCGGAACTGCATATAATTACGAATTTGGTGGTACAACCCCCAAATTAACTGTAGCTATATTGTTTCCACCTTCCTTTGGGTCAATAATCAATCTAAACTGTGCACAACTTCCCTCTTTTTGTATTTTCTGATCGCTTTTCACTATGATTTGAATCATTAAACATGTTGGGTCCTGCACCTTTTGTCTGTCGAAAAACATTGGTTATATTTCGCGAACCTGACGATCAACCAGTATTTATCAGTCAGTAAAGTTATCAAAATGGACATGAATGCAATAGCCGATTGATAATTATGTTCAAAACAATCCACAGAGCAAAAAATGAGATAAAACGGTTCCAAAGACACCAAATTATATGAACATTTTGATAGCAGTTAGCTGATAATACAACTACACAGTTTCGTCGGTAAGACAATATAAAAACTGGAGAAGGTTTATCATAGGCATGGTTACAATGAACAATAGTTGGCTTTTAAACGTTAGAATGATAGTATCGAATACAATTTGAGAGATATTGGTAACAAATTGTCGACCAGTCGATCATCAATGGACGTGGTCGAAGAAAATATCTATGAATCATTGTTTTATTACAAGTTCAGGGACCCGCTTTATTACTCTAAACTTTAACAACCTAATGCGGCTGTTTTTTTTCTAAGTAGATGATACAGGCTTTAGAATTTCAACATAAGCAAGGAGTATTCGTGTCACTTATTAGTGCCAGATATTTATGCTTACATTCTTCCTTGTGATTAGTACTCAGTACAAACAGTAAACACAAAAAATCACGACTTCTAATATAAGTTGCACGATTATTAAGATTCTCGACCTACATTTCATCGATCTGTTGGTAAACAACCAATGAACTGAAAAATATATAGCTTAGAGAGCGTAATATCGCGAAATTATCTTAGTTCAGTGAAAGACGTTCTCGTTATTGATGAGAGACGAGTCCAATGCCGCTGTTGAGGCCACTTTTACAAACAGCATTACATGCTGAGTAACAATTGCTTGCCTTATTAACGAAGAGATTAAATGATAGCATATTTTGGAATGATCTATTGATAGTATTTTCATCTACAAAGCATCTTAAACAGATGAAAATAAATCCCTTGAGAAAACTAATATCAAAACCAGGACTTCCATTCTGGCTTGTTTTATTTTAGACAGTAAAAACGAGGTTTCAAACGCGACTGCGAACACAAATCATCTATCCCAATTTAAACCATAAGTATTTATTTCAGTTGTGTAGAACTAAAAGTGAATTCACAAGGCTAATGTTTTTACATAAACTTTGGTAGCTCTCAGAATGATCTGTGATATACCCTTATGTATACTGCACACTAATAAATTACTATATTTTTTTAATAACAGTGCTTTTTTAAAGGCTGAAAACTACTTTTCGTCGTAAAAAAGATGCTTAACTCCAAACTCTAAAAGTGAAGACATTCTATTAGTGTGTAAAAAATAATTTAGAAGCCCAAGAAGTACGTGGCGGCTTATGATTCGTGAAACAAGTACAATCAGCAGAAATAAATATTACATACGTCATTTCTTAAGTTACTTTTTGACGCAAAATTGTAAAACGTAGTTCAGATGTTTATGGTATAGTGATTTCTGGAATCAGGTTGACTTTTTTAGCAAAGCACATTAACTGACGAGCACGATACTGCCAATAATTAGCTCGAACCCGATCCACTTCACGGGCCAAACGTTCGCATAAATTGACAGCTCGGTCAAATATTTCTTTGGGATCAGATCTGGCATTATTCGAGTCATCAGAAGTCACACCAACAGCATTGAAACTATAGCGAGGAATTCGAAAAAATGAACAGGTCAAAATTAAAACTGTATTTACTTTATTCACTTCTTATGAATAATTTACTTGATACACATCTTAGAAGAACATATAGAGAAATAAAACCAAGAAATGAAATCAACTTCAAAACTTCTACAAAATGTGATTTGGTACAAAAAACCATCTCCAAGATTATATTAGTATTAGACAGAATAAAATACTATCCCATCATACTTCAAGCTAAAACACCGTATGTAACTGGACTTTTTATTGAGATACCGAGGATTTAGTCGACGTTATATAAGCCATGTAAACGAATTCAGATATTAAAGTGGGCGACAAAACTTCGTGAAATAAGAAAAAAAGTGAAAACAATCGAATTGAAAAATACGAAATTATCTTGTGGGAACACTCGGATATTTCCCACTTCGCTGTTTAAATCACATGATGTTAGTTTTGATGCTGATTGTCCAGGTTGAATTAATAATCAGCATAAGACTCTTGGAGTGCGAAGCAAATTGGCAGATATGCTGAGCATATGATGTGAGTATTTTATTATTATTATTATTATTATTAGTCGTAGTAGTAGTAGTAGTAGTAGTAGTAGTAGTGCAAGTAGCCGAACCAACAATACCTTATGAGCGTTTTACTATAAAAATATCTACAGGTTAATGTAGGCAAAAATCCCAGGTTATGAGAATTCATGGTTATATTGATGATTCGATAATAATTGCTATCTCCTATTTTCTGAACTTTTGTCCACGACTGCATTAGCGTTGATGTGACTTGAAAATTAAAGGAAATAATCTTAACTGTTAGCTACTTTATTTCCTACTGTGAGTAGAAAGGAATGGCCTTACCGCTTCGAACAAAGTTTCAGAATCAAATGGTTATAGACCTGAACATTTTATAGACTTAGACAAATTGAATTTTGTGTAGTGTCCAAAAATCGACTAGCCTTTTATGATAAACTGTGATGATCAGTGATCACGGCAGAGCTAAAAGAAGTATTTTGGATTTCTACATTCTGTCCAGTACGACAAACGCAATTCCAATTCCTAAATACTTCCAGAAGTATATTATAAAAGGCAACTACCCTCTCAATACATAAATACTACTCTTAGTAGAAAATTGCACATGAAGAAACCTTCAAGGTGCTTCTTTTTGGTACTGATCCAAGTGTGCACTATAAAGGACTAGTATATAATCATAAACGGAACAGATAATCTCAAACCAGAATACTTAATCATTGGTCCTCTCTCGCGACATTTCATTGCAACGTCATTTGCGTATCTTTACACTGGTGTTAGAGATCGCCAATTCAGTGTCTTAGCGCGTTTTAAATCAATGCTGAGCAAGAATAAATGGTCTTCTGAGCGAATTTAAGAAAGCAACTAACGTGAACAGTTCGGGATTCCGAGGGAACCTTAGGTGTATGCTTCTCTTTAGACTGGACTCTGTATTCGGTAATTCTAGGACTCCAAAGATTAGTGCATATCTTTTTAAGCCACGTGCCACTCAATCATTTTGAGGCTGCTAGAGAGCAAGTTGTAACCACGTTGTATAGAAAATTTACTAACGGTGACGGAAAGATAGAGAATACCTAGTTTATGAACACCACGTTTTAAATTCAACCGTGGATGCAATGATCAATCTCATATAGCTACAACACAGACGAAATTAATAGGTAGAACGCTTGTTCTTTAAGAAACAAACTTGCCATTTAAGTCGGTTGGAAACAAATAGGAATGAAACAAAAAAGTTCAAGGTTTGGGGCGAAGTTGCACTTTCGACTATTTACACAATAAGTGTTGTAGTTATGCTACTTCCATCTTAATAAGCTAATGTGACTAAACTGAAGGTAATGTGAGTTTTAAAAAATAAAGCCCAATAGGGTTATGATGAAAAGAAAGTCCGGAAGCTAAGTTCAGACAGCAACATTTTATTGAGAATATCTTAAGCTGTGTAAATAAAATAGCTGTTTAACACTACACACAACAATGACATATCGAATATAACTGTTCAATGTGGCACTTCGGAAAATGGATATAGTCTAGTACTAAGCTAACTGATTTATGAAGGATGTCATTTTATATTTTATATCTGTCTGGATAAAGTTGAGTTTTAATCCACGACAGAATTGTTGGAATTGAAGTGTCTTAACAGAAAAGCCACAGAGGTTCAAAAGACTGTTATGAAGTAATAAGTGGATAAATACTGATAATAACATATGTAAAACTGTAAATTTATTTATACATTAAATAATGCATACCTAGAATGTGTTTCGCACGTACTACCTGATTTTTCAGTAAAATAGGATTCTAAACAATCAGCATACACTTCAACCAAGAAACTAAGCGGTGCTAAACAATCACCAGCTATTTGATCAGATGCAACCAATTCCTCTGCAAATTTCTGCATAATTTGAAGATCAGACATAATATTTTGCTTAGTATTAGGATTCTGATCAACTAAGAGTTTACACGAAGAATTATTAATATGCTTTTTCCCACGTACTATGGGCATTAGCAAACCATAAAAATAATTCCATGAACTTTCATTATTCGGAGCAACGGAGATACGTCTTTGAACAAAATCTATTTCCTGAAAATGAAATATATATATAGAAATTTTCACAGGACGAATTATGTTTGTACACCATTTAAATAAGTGATAATAATAATAATTTTCAATATGACGAGTAACAAAGAACTTCACAGACATTTTTTCTGCAATTTCCGTTTTGAAAGGAGGAGAGAATACACCCTTATTAAGAAATTCAGTTTACACGGTTCAAAAATCAGCCGAGTAATATTTAGGATTACTGTAACTAGGTATTTGATATAAGCAATCGCTTTCCGTCACGCTTGTTTTTTGTGACTACCAGCAATTTACAAGTGTTGCTAAAAGTCATAATAATCGCCTTTGGATAATGTAGTAAATATTTAGTTAGAGCTACTACGAGCTGTTTCTTAAAAAAGTAAAGTCAATTTTGATACGAATTAGTAATGCTTAGGGCTGGAGTTTGATTAAAATCTTCTCATTGAATGTGTCCACAAACGTACAGTTAACAATGTAAATGACTTCAAGACTCCAAATCACCCAGATCTTGCTATAAATCCAATCAACTGAGAGTTCCAGTACGTCTTACTTATTAAGACATAGGAGTAAGCTTGAATATGTATCTCCCGTAAAACATTGCATAATAAGAAGTTCACATAAAAACTAAAATGCTAAACAGTCTTTTAAATACCAGCAATTACCGGTCACTACCATTAATCCTTATTAATGGCAAAAATTGTCGATAGTCTTGGACGTACATTTGAACTGTTTTAAATTATTGTAAGCTAGATAAAAGAACTTTCATAATTTTAATTTAGAAAAATTACTCCAATAGCAAAAACCCAGGAAATGGCATACTGTTTAACATACACGCTGAAGAACGGTAGATGATAAACCTTCGTCACACATGACAATATAGTAACGATGATTCCAAGCCGAATTATTATAAACGTCACTGGAAAGCGTTTGTTCGGTGAATGCTAACTCTGTTTTAACAGGCACATTGAAAAAAGTTACAATCCACCGTCGGTGCTGCCAAGCATGATAATTTTTAGGATCATCTGAAATGACAGACCCAACAAAATCTAATTCCTCTGAACTAAGATGTGTTATAAAGCTGGAGTTATTTTGATTCTGTTGTGATAATTTTTCGACAACCCATTGTCGATGATGCCATAACTAAACAATAAAGAAATAAAACATTCCATATACTTTTCACTGTAGTGCAAGAAGCAGAAATGTATGGATCACGTTATATCATCTGTGTTTGATTTCAATTAAAAACTTATAATGATAGATGATTAATGGGATGAATAGTCCAAAATAACTGGAAAACGAAACATGTCCGACTGAGCTTATCCTTGCATAAAATTATTTTCTCATATTTTGATAAACGTCGAAATAATGATCTTGGTATTAAGTTAAAAACAAATAATGGTTATGTGTAACTCTGTCTGCAGCACTCTAAGGTTGATGCTGGTCTCAAGCCCGAATAATCAAGGAGAGTTGGGGCCAGGATTAGCGATATTATCTAGGGAAAAAGAAACTCACTGAAGAATGCTAACCAGAATAAACCAATTAATCCATTTAAACTCGGTCCTGAGAGTTAAGGGTCTTCATATAGAAGATTTATGAGGTCTCATAGTGATAGCAATACAAATAGGTACATGGAGTGTTCGGACAACTTGGAAGGTTATTCAAGTAGATAGAAAAAGTGAGAGGATTCTACCTGGTTTTGATAAGAATAAGCGGAACTTAACTTCATGGGAGCTGCTGATGTGTTTTGGTCATGAGGAAAGAAGTGCCTGACCTACATAAGGGGTTGTACTGATGCTTTCCAACGAAGTACGAATATCGCTTACAGGATGAGAAACCTATGGTTCCAGGATCCTTCTAAACAAAAAAAGAAACTAAAATGTATGTCATCCAGAGCTACGTTCCCATTAACGGTAACAGCCATGATGAAAATCACATTTATAAGAGTCTATCCTAAGGAAACGCCTAGTCATCCTGATGGATGACTTGAACGTCAAAATCGGAATTGATAACACTGAGAGTAAATGCACCATAGAGTAAGAGAAAATAACGAGAATGGTAAGCGATCGATAAATCACTATTCTTGCAACAAAACAGCTATAGGTGGCACGGCCCCCGCCCACAAACACATACTAAAATATACATGGGTTAACCTGATTACATCATGGAAGACGTAAGAACAAGAAAAGGGGTTAACATAGCTTCAAATCACTACCTGATGGTGGCCAAGCTGAAGGAGCATTAGAAAATGAGACAAGTAGCACTACGGAAGTTTAACATAACCTTCATTTGAGACATTGACAACCATGAATGCCCTGGTATGACCGAGATTGGGGAGAGTCCGCTCTCCCTTTCGAGATGCTCTCACATGGCTACGCGTATACAGCCTCTGACAGGGAATTCCTACTCACTGCTATCTCAGGGGTGTTGTTTACGAAATTGAGGACGAAAAGCGAATATCCGGTGCCTCAACCGGGTTGGTGGACATGGAGAATCCACTTAGGGGAGTTGGAAAACCCTGATTCCAAACCAATGGTGCACATGGGCTCCAGTATCTTGAAGGACCAAATGGCGTATGGACCAATCGTTGGTCACCGGCTACCATGGGACTGCATCTACTTACGTTGCATCACTGCCTTGTGGGTCAGACCTTCAGGTCGAAGACTCCGGATATGGCTCCCTAAGAAAACCACCTGCTTCTGTTTGGGCACCCGGGCAGTATCACGGCTCTCACACATATCAAATGAGATCTGTGTGGCGCATATGTATTTAGTTCCTCCTTGTACCAATATCTGTGTGTTAAAATAAATCAGTGAATTGTACATAGCGCTCTGCAACAAGTTCCAAGCATTACAAGATCTGCTAAAAGGAAAAGAAGACACGGGAGTGAGAAAGTAGCAGGATCTGATAACATACCAGCTGAAGTACTTAAGCCAGATACAGAAGTAAATGCAAAGATGCTTGGATTTCTGTTCCGGAATATTGGTGGGGAAGAACAAGTTCCGAAATAGTGGAAAGAATATCTCATAAAAAAAACAAAGAATGGAGACTATAAGAGAGCATTCGACAGTGTAGATAGGATTGCTTTTGGAATTCTCTTCGATACTATAGAGTACCTGGGAAAGCCGTCACCACCATAGAAACGCCATAAAATGAACTGAGTTGTAAAACCATACATTGAGAACAGCTCGCCAATACATTTCAAGTATGAACTGGAGCTAGATAAAGCATAATACTCTCGCCTTTTCTCGTTCTCCTGGTTGTTGACTGTGTTATGAAGACTTCTACATCTCTGGAACAGCATTGAATACAGTGGACACCTTGGACACAGCTCGAGGACTTGAACTTGGCAGATTACTTAGCCTTTCTATCCCACAGAAAAAAACAAATGCAGAAAACAGTCAATGTAGCAATGGCTTCTGCAGTAGTAAGCCTTAAAATTAACAGGGGGGGAAAGCAAGATTCTGAAGAACAGTTCAATTAACATCAACCAAACAAGACTTTATTGCAAAGCTCTAGAAGAGAGAGGTCTTGAAGTACCTGAGCGACATCATTGATAAACAAGGGAGATCTAACGCATATGTGGGAGCACGAAACGTCAAAGCAATGGCAGCATTCCCACAATTGAAGAATACACAGAACTCAAAAACAACTCTCAGCCAGCTATCAGAGTCAGGATACAATATAATAATCAAGACAGTTCTACTGTATAGAGCTGAAACTTGTTGAGCTACTACAATCATCATCAACAAGTACAGGTATCTATAAACAGCTGATCACGCATGATAATCCATTCCCATTAGCCAGAGACTATAGGCAACAATCTACACTGGAAAGTAACAAACTAATTGCCAAGTGAGGAAAGGGTAAGAAAAAGTGTTGGAGGTGGATAGAAGACCATGGAAACTGTCAAATAGCATTACGAGTCAAGCACCAACTTGGAGTCCTCAGGGCAGAATGAAAAGATATGGACCCAAAAGCACGTAGGGTCACAAATCGGAAGCCGACATGATGACAATAAATAGCACTTGTGGATTGGGAAGAAAAGATCAGAGCGGGGATGTTTGGAAATCCCTGGTCAGCTGTCTTGCAAACGAAACAAGTATCTTCACCTTACAACGTTTATAGGTTTCAGAAACTCACATCGCTAACAAAAACATATCTGATTACAGTTGATTCGCCATTTTCTAACCGCTAATTTTAGGTCAATACAGTTCGTTTACATGGTCGATTATCGATTTTCCAACATCAAAACAGCTTCCGTTACTTATTACAACTATGTTCCATGCATTTTTCCTTAAATACTAAATGGGAAAGTACCTTACTCTACATGGTATAAATTTGAGCAACAACTTTTGACGAATACAGATTTTGTAGGTAACATTGCTGATTTCTTCACGTGCTTTATCATGTTCCGCATAATCACATGAATTCTTTCAATTCTTTCAATAAACTATGAATTAGGCTTCTATCCAGATAACGGAACAAGCTACAGATGCGCGGCACATTCTCCCTATATTATTATAATTCCAACAGGGGATCCAGTCAGCTTTTTTCTCTATTTGTCAATTAGTCGATTCGATTAAAAGTGTGCAGTGTACTATCTACCACTAAGTTATTTTGTTGCGCCATGACGAAAATTCTTGTTTCTCAAAGGTTGAAAAATATTGCGGGGAAATTTATTGCTAAAAATTACAGTTCTGAATTACACATTTTTAATGGTTTAAACATTTTGAGTTTTCTCCCAATTTTTTCATGGTATATTTATTGCTGTGGGGCACTGATTAAAGTATAGTATAGAAAATATCGCCAATTTAGGTTATGGGAATCAAACAACTGCATCAGCGCATCGCAGTCACGAGAATTAGGGTTTTATTATTTATTTATATTAAGTTACATCGTAACCTCAAACTATGCTCTTTGGTCATTGAATTTATCACCAGTGTGAGATCGCTGAATATAAAACACCAAAACTTCACTGATAAGCTATGCATTACAGAAATGTAGAATTTCGAATACATTATGCAAAAACCCAGGAACATTTAATACTACGTTTAGAACTTTAGGGAGTGAAGTCATGCTGTAGAACTAGTTGGTACTTTTGCTTTTAGTTTGTTTACAAAGACTAACTTCAACTGAATGATCACAAATGGAACGCTAGTTTGAATAGGAAAAAATTCACTGAACAATTCTTAATGTATTACACTACCCAGTTAACAGAATTAACGTTTACATTCAAACAGCAAATTCGCGTGTTTACGGTTTTGATACATAAATATCCCAAATCACAGATATTTAAGACAACTAAGAGCACTTACTCACTAGCATTTGAGAACTAATTTCATCAGATAAAATCACTGATCAGAATACACTTAGATCAAACAAATGGTTGCAAATTGAGAGAACAGAACACTCAACATAAAAGTAAATTATCAACAAATAATCTATTTAACTTGTTATTTTATGAGTATATTGGTTAGTCAATAACGTGCATGGAGTGCAACAAGGATAAAAACAAACAAACCATAGATCAATTCAGGGATATGGGAACACATCATAGTGCCTTTGATCCAGTCCAAGTACTTTGACTGTGATGTATGGACCGATTTCTGGTCACTGGCTACCATAGCATCGCATCTCTTAACGTTCTTGCACTGTCTTGTGGATTAAACTTCTAGATTAAGGGTTTGTGGAGTGGATCCCTAAGAAAACTATTAAGTTCGGTTTTGAGCACCCGGGTAGTATCCTAACTCACACACAAATTAAATGGTGATTACAACCGAAAAAAATATCGCGTCCTCAAATTATATTCATAGTCACTTGGTAACAGTCATTATTATCCGACATTATGTCACTTGTCTGTTCTCTTTCATTCCCATTTTGTGCATTCTTCTATTTTTCAACTGGCACAGAAGCCAGCCTATGACAGGAATTCTGTCCTGTCTAGGCGAGCTTGAGCCACTGACGAGACGGAAGTTGAATGTGTACAAGACTCCTGCTTCTTTTTGAGTGCTTAAGTTACTCTGATTGCCCTCTTGTTTAAGCTAATCTAATCTTAAGTTTTAGTGGTCAATAGGTTCATAGTCCTAAACGGACTGATGTAAGTAATTTGACAGAAGCTTCCGTTGAAGGTAAATATCAGACTGAGCTAGTTTCAATGCTACTTACTAACCCAATGAAAAGGATGGATGCAAATTGGCTAAATATGCAGGACGTCATGAAAGTGGCGATTTAAATCTCTTGCGGCTTCGGAAAATTGAAAGAATGCATTCTGGTTGTATTTTTTTGTAAAATAGACTGCTTCTCCAACTATTATTCCTTTTTTGTTCTGTCACTCATTTTTATTCATTTGTATATTCCTCACTTATTATACTCACATTTCTTTATCTCTGTCTTCACTATTTCATTTTTTATTGTGTAGAGCATATGTATTTCGGTACCCCTTTTTAACAATATTTATGTTTAAATAAATAATAAAAAAATGGATGTTGAGAATACTTAAGTGCAAAAGCGAATATATAAGTTTGAGAATATTAAAATTTTGTCCGAAGTTCTCCAGTAACAGGTGTCATTTAAATGTATTCTACAGAGGTTGGCTGTCTGTATATAAGTTCATTATATCGTTTTTCTGTTAATCGAGGAAGACACCAACATAAGTGACAAATAATTATACATGTGAAATTGTGAGTACTTTCTGTTTGGCAACTAAGATAAAATTTCACCTCTGTGTTGCAAAACAAATATATTAAATCATTGTTCTATATACTATCCCCCAAGTACCTTAATTGGATGGATCAGTAGATTTATGAAATCTTGATTGCAAGTTCAAACTGCCATATGTTAAGTTATTATCGCTAAAGGATAACAAGATCGAAATAAGTACATCGATACTCGAAATAAGGTTATGTTGACCAAGGTCAGAGGTAAGACGAATAGTAATTTTAATAAACATTTGAGGAAGCCAGTATGAATATATTTTCGTACTTAAGATAAATTCTAGATGCTAGTGTAGCATAAAGTTACGTTAAGAAAAGTAAGTATAATTCATTCTGATATACTGAGTTTTATACGCATTTGTCGAATTTTGTAGGAGAACAAAATTATAAGTGAAAAATTAACATACACATGTAAGATTTCCACTTACATGTAATACAACAACTTATGGTATCTTAATCCGTCAAACAAATATAATCAGCCAAAACTATCTCAATAAACATTTATGAAATAGCTCGTTAGCATCTTCAGCTCGAACGGGCCAGACTCCACAAGAGAGGATAATTGCTCTCATCGACGCATTGTAAACCAAACCTTCAACAAGACGGTATCAAAGATGGTATAGATTGGGATAAGCCGCTCTAACTTTGACTGATCTTATCTGCTATCAAACCAGTAAGATTTGCACAACTACCCAGATGCATGAAACTATCAACCATTACCAACCATCCACCACAAAGAGCGAGTGTACGTATGTTGGGATATTCAGAAAAATATCCCAAAAATTATCCTGTTAAGTCTAATACTATCCTTGAACGTGAAGTGGTGTCATTTTCCTATTGGTCAATATTTATTTCACATGTCGTTTCCCTACTGGTCAATATCTATTTCACATGTTATTTTCCTACTGGTCAATATTTATGGCAGTCCAGTATAAATATTCATTTGTCCGTAAATTCTTATTCTTCTCTTGACCCCATAAACAATTTTCATCTACGGTTCGTGTTCTGATATATTGGAGTCGTACTGGGATATCTGAAGTTGGTCAGTCAGTAGAAATTAGAGTAGCCACCCCGCGGTCCACAATTACGCACAAACAGGTGTCAGTTTTACGGGAGTACTTTACGTTTAGAAGGTGAAAACTAGACTGACACTAATTTCAAACTGACAACGTACGATTTGGATGCTGTGTATCACCACATAGTGAGACAATGCTATCCGCATACTCAAGATCAAAATCTCTCAAGAAATATGAATACTTGAGCACCTTTTACTTCGATGGCTCAACCTGTAGTCAAAGGCGGCGAGACAGGACAGCCTGATAGATGTTTCTGTGGCAACAGACTCGTTGAACTGTTTCGCGAAGATCTCTTCTTGTCCCCTTAGACGCCTCTGAACCTTAATAATTGGCGTCCTATCAGATTCATAGGCTGTTTCACTAAAACCAGACTACATGATTTTGTCGGGGGTTAGTGATAAAACTTATTTCTTATTGCATTTTGGATAAAACCTATCAGCGTGTAAGTGGAGATTACGGGAAGACATCGTTCCACATTCTAGTTTCTTTTCGTCTTGGTGGAGCCTTTCTATCTAATAACACACAGACAACTTTTCATGTGAATCTAACCGGTTAGTACTCCCCCTGTTATAGCGCGATGTGATACTGACACTAACGAGACTGGACACTGATCTCACAGTGTCTCCCCACATACCCAAGTGAGACAAAGTTTTTGCGTCGACAAATAGAGAGCGAAGTGGGATAAATATCTCAGATATGAAAAATACACATATCAAGACTTTCTAAAGACATACACAAGTCTATGTTATTCGGTCTCTACCAAAGTGCGAGAGTTGAGGGCGGCAAAGCTTAATTACTTCAGAAAGGTTGATTTAGACTTCATGGTCGATGACAACATTTCAAAAATCAAACATTTAGCGACTTGAGACCGTCTAAGCAGTACAGAGCGTTCAGTGGAGACGAGATGTTGAGTTGGTTAAATAGTGAAATTAACATAACGATTCGTATAAGCAAGTTGAACAAAAAAGTACTATAATTTCTTGTTTAAGTTCAGATAAGAATGAATAAGCTAATAATTTACTGAATACTCCATAGAGAATTTCTCACTCATTCATAAACCTCCATTTAGTAAACTGACTGACTAACAGTTAGTCAAATACCCCTTACTGTGAAATTTCATACTCTTAGTTTTCTTTATTACCTTGAATACAGCAAGAATAAAGAATTGAGCTCAATTCTTTGATCTACCTCTTGTTGTCTTGTATTATTCAGACATACAGATTCATGCGATTGTATACATACAATAAAAGACCACGATGCACCAAGAATAATAAACTATAGTACATAACTGGGACATTTGTAGTCTAAATCCAGGTGACAGGTTTAGGATTAATTTACTGTAATTTAGGAACAGCAAAAGCGATAGGAACAGTTAATGAGTCGAATAAAGGATTACAATTAAGACAATATCCAAATACCAAAAACTGAATATTTAATAAATACTCATTAAAAATCTACCTACTAAACAATCCAGAGAATACCTTCCAGAGTTCCACATTTTTATTTTTTCGCCACTTCCTGACAATTAGGATGCCAAATTGATATAAAACTAGTTTATGATGAAATAATTACGACTTTTATAGTTTCTAAGCATCATCGTGATTTACAATCCTTTTGTAGTTAATTTTTACTACCTGATGACCTTGAGAATTTTATTTCTTATATATGTAACAGTTTGTCAGTTGCATTCCTAGTGACCTAAAATATACTCCATATTTGAAGTGTATGAAACGATGATTACATAAAATATACCCTACCCTGTTTCTTCATTTAAATGGACAGATTTTCATAACGTGATTAGTACCATTGCATTATTCGCAATTAAAGCACTCACCTGGTAATTTTTTGAATAGTCTTCAATAAGCCCACCAACGAAACGCATCTCACCATTTAGGTCAGGTGAAATTTCCTCGATGATCCGTCTTCTGTACTCCCAAGCTGTGTAGTTGGCGGGATTAAACAATAAAATGTCAGAGGTTAGTGACAATGTCCGCTCACTACGCTCATCCTTCATTAAGGATGCACGAAAATAATCATGTGCATCAACAAATTCTTCAGAATATGCAATATTTACAATGTTCCGATCTCCATCATCCTGAGGAATCGGATTAACATCATCCCATTCTTGTCTGTCTTTGTAGAATACATACTTTTCACGAGAACTCATGGGTTGCAGAAGAATATCTACAAAACAAAGTAATTATAAGTTCATCAAAAGTCAGAGAATTAGTTGCATAAAAATAGAGATAAACAAGATACATATTATCTAAATAATACAAGCACAGTCGAGAGTGCAGTTAATAATAAAATCAACTTATAAAACTTTGAATCGTTCAGAATCGCATAGCAGTGAATATATGAGAAGGGACTCTTTATAACTATTTTAAAAGACATTAGAAACATGAAGTTTAACTTTTCTGAATTACTTTATAGAACTAATTCATCCATAAAACTTTATAAATACGATTATTTACGTGATTGTGATCGAGTTTTATTTACGTTGATAACACATAATATGAATCAAATGTTTTGATGAAGGGCGGCAATTTGGTGTTTGTTAATATCCAGGATTGTAACGAGAGTAATTCATATATTGTAGTTAACATTAGTGAATAAACACCTATGATAACAAACGCACAACATTCAGATAAAATGCTAAGACTTTTTTCGTCAGTTACTTAAATTTCATAAGTTTACTTAAACCATTAATATATATACAACGTACTGTTAATTGACGGTTTCGTGATGAGTCAATTAAGTACAGAGATACAGTAATCCTGCCTACTCTGAACAAACAATGCCGACTGAAATTTTGTAAGTGACCGTTAAGATTCTGACAGGTCGTTAATACATCAGGTAACCATTATTGTAACCTAGACTACACTAGACTAAACATGCAGAGGTTTTACGGTTACAGACCAAGGGTGATTATTGTTATTGTCAAGTAAAGAAGCTAAGAAGCACTAATATTAGAAGAATTACGGTGATAATAACCTCATAATTAAATTGTCTAGCCATCAGCTCTTAATGTGGGTAGCAATTTACGACACTCAAATCTAGTCGGCATCAAGTTTTTCCTGGAACATGTTACGATATAGATGAGTATATTTTAAACTGTTTAAAGTTAGACTTTCGAAAACCGCTGATATGAAAAATTGATTTTTAGAAGAGGAACACAACGATGAAAAATCACATAGTTTGTGCTACTATTCCGTTTGAAAGAAATACAATGAAGTCTTATACCGGTGGAATGAACAATACGGTCAGTGAGTAACCGTCATACAGTATCACTGCAAGCAATCGGAAGGTTTTAATAGTTTCACAGCAAAAGAAAAAAAACATAATCAATGACCAGTCAGGTAGTTATTTGCGGTTGACTAATATTTTAGCTAAGATCTAGGAGTCAGATGTTATTCCATCTGACTGGTCACAATCACTTATCGTCCCAATATATAATAAAGGGTCAAAATCATCCTGTGACAACCACAGAGGGATTAGTTTAACTAATATAATATCTAAAATACTAGCCTCAATAATAATCAGATGCCTAACTAAGACTCGTGAACTGCAAACACGAGAAAATCAGGCTGGCTTCACACCTGGTCGTGGCTGCATCGACCACATATTCACCATTCGTCAGGTTCTAGAACACAGGCATACTTATCGGCGTCCGACAATGATAGTCTTTCTTGACTTAAAAGCAGCATTTGACTCGGTAGACCGCGAGATTCTGTGGCAGTGTCTGTCATTGAAAGGCGTACCTCAGAAGTACATAAACCTTGTGAAGGCTCTTTACTCGAACACTACTAGTCGAGTTAGGGCTTATGGAGAACTGTCATCTACTTTTGCAACCTCAAGTGGTGTCCGTCAAGGATGTCCACTTTCCCCATTTCTGTTTAACTTCATCATAGACCTACTGATGGAAATAACACTCTCGTCGACTGAATCCTCGGGTATTGATCTCCTACCAGGACGTCCACTTATCGACTTAGAATACGCAGATTACATAGTTCTGTGTTGGTGAAGACGCTGATAAAATGCAGTCTTCTGGTAGCACTAAGCAACAATGCCAAAATGTTTGGAATGCGCTTCTCTCCCTCTAAATGCAAGTTGTTGCTTCAGGACTGGTCTGCGTTAACACCTGAACTAAGGATAGGGAGTGAAGTGGTCGAACGCTACGACAACTTCACTTATCTTGGAAGTCTAATCAGACCTAATGGGTTGGTATCGGACGAAATCTCAGCACGGATTCGAAAAGCTCGTTTGGCTTTTGCCAACTTACGTCACCTGTGGCAAAGGCGAGATATCCGTCTATCAATAAAAGGACGAGTATACTGCGCGGCAGTCCGTTCTGTTTTAATTTACGGCAGCGAAACATGGCCATCAAGAGTAGAAGACACTCGTAAGCTATTAGTATTTGACCACAGATGCCTTAGAAATATTGCTGGCGTCTGCTGGGATAACCGGGTAAGTAATAGTGAGGTTAGACGCAGGGTATTAGGGAATGATGGTAAATCAGTTGATGAGGTTATGAATCTTCATCGACTGAGATGGTTGGGCCACGTGTTACGTATGCCTGAACAACGATTACCACGACGTGCAATGCTATCCGGTATTGGAAATGGTTGGAAGAAAGTTAGGGGCGGCCAAACCAAAACGTGGCATCAGTGCTTGAAGTCACTAACTTCTAGTCTGAGCCATGTTGGTAGATGCAGACTACTTGGTTGGGGTCCGCGTGACTATCGTAACCGATGGTTGGAGACTCTTGGTGACATGGCTCAGAATCGATCACAATGGCGTCGGTGTATACACTCCCTGTCTTCCCTTAAACTAAGAGATTAAAATCGATTCATATCTTTCTTTCTACGAACCAATTCTTTCTTCTTGTACTATATCTCTATATGCAATCTTTCTCTTATATATTACCACCTTTTACCTAACCACTGTTATGAATCCGGTGTTCATCTTGTTGTGCTGATGCGGTATGGCAACCTGGACCGATGCACATATGTGCCTGGTCCTACGTTGTAGCTGACTAACTGACTGAGATCACCACCTGGTGATTGCCGAGATAAAAATGAAGCTAATAAATGCTGGACAAATTTAGATATTGGTAAACTTAACTGATTCAAGATAACGCTCAGCAACAGGTCACAAGACTTACAAGATATACTCAGAGAAGAGGAAACCACAATAGAGAATAACTGAAAGGAGGTTAAATAGGAAATAACTTCAACATGTTAGGAGGTTCTGCGTCGCAAGAAGCATCATCATAAGGAATGGATTGCTATGGAAACGTTGGACAGGATTCAAGAAAGGAAGAACAAGATAACAATTAACAATAACAGAACAAGAACGGCAAAAGTCAAAGCACAGGTTGGATACACAGAAACAAAGAAGAGAGCGTACAGGAGCATTAGAGCTGACGATTAGAAATACGTGGAAGATCTAGCAGTGACAGCGGAAAACGCTACAAGAGGAAATATGCGACAACTATATGATACAACCAGCAAGAAAATATAATAAACTAGAGAAGCCATTGAAGAACAAAGAAGGCGAGCTAATCACTTAAATTCAAGAACAGAGGAACAGATGGGTAGAATACTTAGAACAACTCTTGAATGGACTAGCTCCATCGAATCCATCAGACATCGAGGCAGCACCTACAGACCTTCCTATAGATGTCACTCTGCCGACGATCGAAGAAATCAGGATGGCCATCAGACAAGTCAAAAGTCGGAAGACGACAGGATCTGACAACGTACTAACCGAAGCACTGAAGTGAGATTTAGAAGCAACTGCAAACATGCTCTGCTTTCTACTCAACAGGATTTGGGAGGAAGAGTGTCGACAGACTAGAGAGAAGGATACCTCATCAAGATACCAAACGAAGGAGATCTGAGCAAATGTGAGGACCACAAAGTCGTGACACTACTATCAGTACCAGCAAAAGTTTTCAAAAGAGTGTTGCTGAACCGGTGAAGATTCAGTAGACGTCCAGCTTCGAGATCAACACATCGGATTCTGTAATGGTCGAGATACACCCTCAGTGTATCTGGCGACTCGATGGTTAGTTCTCGTGGACTGACGGTTGTAGGCATAGCACTAAGTACGAGGGCGGAACAAGCACTATTAAAGTGGATTCCCGTCAACAGTTGCCTATATGCTGTTCGGCTAAACGGCTGCGTAGGAATTCAGAAGAATAGGGACACACGTCATTGCTTTTTCGTCGTTTCTGCCTACGTTCCCACTGACTGCAACCTGAATGAAGTGGAAGATAGCTTTTACAAAAAGCTTTCTGGACTTCTTCATAAAGCTAAACGCTCAGACATAGTACTCGTAGCAGGTGACTTTAATGCTCAGATAGGCAGTTTAAACCAAACAGAAAGGCATTTAGGTGGGTATTTTAGTATTCCGGTACAACGAACAGATCATGGTGATCGTCTGTTGCAACTGTGCTCAGACAATCGTTTATTTTTAGCAAGCACTAATATAAAGCATAAGGAGAGATAGTTTAACATGGCGACCCCCTGCATCAAACAAACGATGGACTCGAATAGGCCATATTGCCATCAGTTATCGCAGGAGAGGCTCGATAGAAGACTACCGCTCGTTCTGGAGTACATGTTTAGACTCTGATCATGCTATAATACGAGCATGCATTTGCTTGCGCCTCACTCGACGCGGAAAAGCCATAATAAGAAGACACATTAGAACTTAATTGAGTGATTAGAAATCCGAAACTAGATCCCAGAACTAGCTCTCTTAGGCTGGATCCCAGTAGACAGTCGTCTGTGCGCTGTCCGACTAAACGGAACAGTAAGGACTCGGACTCATTGTTGCCTCGTCGTCGTCTCTGCCTATTCTCCCACTGACTATAGCTCAGATGATGTAAAAGATGAATTTTACAAAAAGCTTTCCGACCTTCTCCGAAAGGCTAGGCGCTCGGATGTAATAATAATTGCTGGTGACTTTAATGCTCAAGTAGGTAAACTAAGTGAAAGGGAAAGACACCTAGGTGGATCTTATGGTGTCGTGGCTCAAAGAAGAGATAATGGCGACCGTCTGTTGCAGCTATGCTCAGATAATCGCCTCTTTCTTGCAAACACTAACTTCAAGCATAAAGAAAAACATCTTTTAACATGGCGACTCCCTAATTCGTCCCAC